CACCATAGAGTCTCCTCCTAGTGTGGCGTCCTTTTTCCTCTGCTGACCAGAAGTCCCGTTCCCCCCCACCATAGAGTCTCCTCCTAGTGGTGCATCCTTTTTCCTCTGCTGACCAGAAGTCCCGTTCCCCCCACCATAGAGTCTCCTCCTAGTGGGGCATCCTTTTTCCCTTACCTGTCCTAACCGAAAGCCCTATCGATTGTGGCGCCAACCAGAAAACCCACCCCTTGCCATAGAGTCTCCTCCAAGTGCACCATGCTTCCCCCCCGCCCCCCATAACCAGAAGCTCCTCAAAACAGGAAGCTGCAGGAGTGGGATGAAAGAGCCACATGCGGCTCCAGAGCTGCAGGTTGCCGACCTCTGCTCTAGGCTAACCATACCCAATTCCTGCAACCATTCTTCGTATGTTTTAGCCTCCAGTCCCGTCATTGTCTTCGTTGCTTTTTTCTACACTCTTTCCAGAATCTTCACATCCTTTTTATATTCTGGTGATCAGAAATGGACGCAGGATCCCAGGTGTGGTTTTACCAAGGCATTAAAAAGTGGTACAGGTAGCCGTCGACTTACGAACACAACTGAGCCCCAAACATCCACCACTCAGTGAGACAGTTAGTTTTCTTGATGCCGTCGTGCAGGGAATCCTTGTGGTTGATATGTGAGGGACCCGGTTGTTAAGTGGGGCAGAAGGTCACCAAAGGGGATCATGAGATTCTTCCCTCCAGCCCCGATGACTGTCATAAATATGAGTCGGTTGCCAAGCGTCTGAATTTGGATCACACAACCGCAGGGATCTGCAACAGTGGTAATTTTGGAAAACAGTCTTAAGTCACTTTTTTCCAGGCTGTTGTTACTTTGAATGGTCACTAAATGGACTGCTATAAGTCAAGGATTGCCTGTGTGAACTTTGGAAAATAGATCATATCAGACCCTTACAATCTCTCTTTCTCTCATTTTCTTTCTTTCTCTCTCCATCCCTTCTTTTCTCTCTCTTTCTCTCATTCTCTCTCTCTCATTCTGTCTCTGTTGCTCCCTTTCTCCCTCCCTCCCTGTCCCTCCCTCTTTCTCTCATTTTCTGTCTCTCTGTTGCTCTTTCTCTCTCATTCTCCCTTTCTCCTTCCCTCCCTCCCTCCCTCTCTCTTTCATTTACTCTCTCTCATTCTGTCTATCACTCTCTCATTCTCTTTCTCTCCCTCTCTCCATCTCTCTCTCTTTCCCTTTCTCGTTCTCTTTCTTTCTCCCTCCCTCCTCCCTCTCTCTGTCTCTGCCTTTCTCTCTCTTTTCTCTCTCTTTTTTCTCTCTCTCTCTCCTTCCCTCCCTCCCTCCTTTCTCTTTCCATAGCAGTTTAGTTTCTGTGTTCAGAAAATCCTCGTTCAGCAACCACAATAGCGAAGTCGTCTGAAATACAGTCGGTTTTTTCCAGCACCTTTGTAACGCTGATCAGTAGCTAAGCGAACCATGGCAACTTGAGGACTGCCTATACTAACACTTCAGGTGATCTTGATTCGAGTTTTGCCTTCCTTCCTTCCTTCCCACTGATGCAGACGCAGTGACCAACGTGGGGCCATCAACCAAGGAAAAGCTGGCTGAAGAGCAGCCAAAGCCCAAGGAAGGCCTCCAGCGTCCTCGTCTCTCAACAGAGCAGAAGGACGGCCCACCCACGGACCCAAGGCTGGATACCAATGGTGAGTTTGAGGGAGGGTCTTCGCAGTGGTAGGATCCCAATTTTTTCCCACCGGTTCTATGAGAGTTCACTCTGTGCATCTATACGCACCTAACATGTGGTTTGTGAGTGCGCTCAGCAATGAAAATATGCCCTCGGTCAGCGCTGTTGAGATAAGTTGCTTTTTTTTTAGTTCAGCTGAGGCGCGGCAATTCGCTCTGCCGCATGAATCAGCTGAACTAAAAAACAAGGGAACAAAGGACAGGATAGGGCGGGGGTGGATGGGCAGGGCCAGCCAGAGATGGCATTGCCGGTTCTCCCAACTAGTTAAAATTTCTGCTACCGGCACACCAGAACCGGTCTGAACCGGCTGAATACCACCTCTGGTCTCCAGGCCCCCCTTGTCTTCTTCACCTGGCCCTTCCCACCCTTTCGCTGCAAAAGCGGGGTGAAAACTCGTGACTGTCCGGTCAATTTCCTTGCAGAGAGGACCACAAAGGCACCCCTGGCCTCTGAAAGAGATAGGGATTCGAACTCAGAATCCAAAAAAAAAAAAAAAAAGGCTCAGGGCAGGGTTTATTGTATATGGTGCACTCAAGAGGAAATCCCTCCAGAAAATAATGGAAAGAAAGATACACTCATCTCTACGCTTATAACAGTATGGTTAATGACTGTTCCAACTGAAAACATCTATTATTCTGTTCTATTCTGTCCTGTTCTGTCCTGTCCCCTGCCCTGCCCTGCGCTATCCTATTCTATCCTTCTGTTTTGTTCTGTTGTCCTGTCCCGTCCTATCCTATTCATCCATTCCACTCCATTTTCCTATCTTATTCTATCCTATCCTGTCCTTTGTTCTGTTTTGTTCTGTTGTCCTGTTCTATCCTTTTCATCCATTTCATTCCATTATCCTATCCTACCCTACCTTATCCTGTCCTTCTGTTTTGTTCTGTTGTCCTGTCCTATCCATCCACTCCATTCCATTCTCCTATCTTACTCTACCCTGTCCTATCCTGTCCTTCTGTTCTGTTTTGTTCTGTTGTCCTGTTCTACCCTATTCTTCCATTCCATTATCCTATCCTATCCTACCCTCTGTTCTGTTTTGTTATGTTGTCCTGCCCTGTTCTATCCTATTCTTCCATTCCATTTCATTCCATTATTATCCTATCCCATCCGATCCCATCCCATCCTATTCTATCCACCTCCTTTGTTGTAAAGACTCTTCTGCAGATTCCCGCTGCCTGGACCAACCCCGCTCCTGCGGGGATGGAGGGACAGAGCAAGCCACATCACCAGGCCCTTCACGAAGCAACTCCGAGGCCAACAGCCGATCCGAGGATGGAAAGACGATGCCCAAGGCAACAGCCGAGAAGGAACTGCTGAAAAATTCTTGCAAAGCATCTCCAAAGTTCCAGCCAGGTTTGTCATTTGCAAACTTGGAGAGGGACGAAGTAATTATAACAGAATAATGGATGGGATCTTGGAGGTCTTCAAGTCCGCCCCCCTCGGGACTTGTCGTAAGTCGAGAACTTCTGCTCCTGGCTTCTAGTATTTGTTCCTAGATATGATATAGTTGCAATTCCTGAGACTCAGTGGGGATGCAGCCCATGTTAAATCTCTTGTTGTTGGATACAGCCCGTTGTTCATGTCTGTCTAGATCTTTTGGGATTCCGAGCTCGTCTTCTAGGGTGTTGGTTGATCCTGCCATCTTAGTCAGTGGTGGGCTGCAACCGGTTCACGCCGGTTCTCACGAACCGGTAGTTCCAGTGAGCAGTTGGCCCTGCCCTTTCCTGTCCTCTATTTCCTAGTTTTGTAGCTCAGCTGATTCACGCGGCACAACGGATTGCCACGCCGCAGCTGTTTTACTCACCAGCGCTGACATAGAAGGTAAGTTTGTAAGCTTAAAAATGGGCGGGTTTTGAATGCTGTGTGTGTGCATGAAGCAGGTGTTAGGTGCGTGCGTGTGCAAAGCATGCGCTCACCGAACTGGTTGTTAAACTGGTTGCAACCCACCAGTGATCTTAGTGTCTTCTGCAAATTTGATGAGTTCCCCTCCCTTTCTCTCATCTAAGTCATTTATGAAGATGTTGAAGAGTATTGGACCTAAGACGGAGCCTTGTGGTACCCCACTGTTTCCTTCTTTCCATGTAGACGTAGTACCATTAAGGACTACAATGTAGTACCATTGAGTACGGTTTATCAGCCAGTTACAAATCCATTGGGTGGTGATGCTGTCTATCCACCATTTTTCCAGCTTACCGAGAAGTACGATGTGGTCTACTCAGTCGAATGCCTTACTGAAGTCTAACTATGCTACATCTGCAGCATTTCACTAGTCCAAAACATGGTCAACAAAAGCTGTAACTTTAAGTCCAATCAAACCAAACGGAGGTAATTAGTTTGGCAGGGTAGGAGCAAGAATTCCAGACATGAAGGCATGGCAAAACTCACGGTTGGAAAGATGCCAGGAACACAGATAAGCAATGACAACACAGGATAAAGTCATGTTTGCTCCCAGCAGCTGCCACAGTCAGCATTCAGTTCTTATAAACTCTCATTTCCCAGGTGTGGTTAATGAAGGGAATCGGGGCCCTTTCCTCCCCCAAAAGCCACGCAACCCACATTGCTCCCTTCTCCGTTCCTCCCTGCGTGCCCTAGGATGAAGATGGGGTGGGCCTTGGTCTTCCTCTGAACCCCTCTCTCTTGTTCTTCCTCCCCCCTGCTCTGCCCAGCCAGACTTTGCCCTTCCCCAGCCTCCTCCACGGCCAACAGAGCCACACTCCCACTCTCTGTCAGCTGTTCATCTTCCTCCTTGGATTCAGACTCCAACAGGGGCAGGACAAAACGAAATAAAATTGGTTTGGCACAATCTCTTTTTAACAAACCGATGCTGGCTTCTCGCAGAAGTAGGTTGTGATCTACTCTGTCGAACGCCTTACTGAAGTCTAACTATACTCCGTCTGCAGCATTCCGCTGGTCTACTAATTTAATCACTTGGTTAAAGAATAAGATTGGTTTGGCGCGATCTGTTTTAAACAAACCCCTGCCGGCTACTAGTTATAACTATGTTTGTTTCTAGAGATGATAGCGTTGCAATTCCTGAAACTTGATGGGAGGAAACCCTTGTTAAATGTCATTTTGTTGGATACGGTCCATTGTTCTTGTCTGTCCAGATTTTGGGGGGGGATCCTGAGCTTGTCTTCTGGGGTGTCAGCTGTTCCTGCCACCTTAGTGCCACCCAAAAATTGGATGAGAGTCCCTTCTACTCCGTCATCTCTATTGCTTACGTGGTCATTTATTTATAAATTATATTTCTTTCTTCCTCTCCTGTAGAAGCAGCATCTGAAGAGAAACCCCCACTTCAGGGGTTGCTGAAGTGCCTGAAGGATCTGGTTACCCTGCAGTCCGGCCGCGGCCCCCAACGCTCCCTTAAGGCTTCCACGGGGAAGCAGCCATGGACCCCCCGAGTCGGGCGATGGGGAGGCAGGAACGCTCCCTTACCCATCCAAGGTGAGTCTGGATCCCAGCGGATTCTTTTACCTGATCGTTGATTCTCCTTGGACAACTACCTTCTGTTCTGGGACCAAACACAGCCCCCCCCGACTCCCCCCCCCCGCAAAACGAATGGAGGTGGTCCTCGACATGACCACAACTTTTCCGTTGCTAAGCGAAACATGTTTTTTTCCCCCGCTCCATTTTACGACGTCTTTCGCCACAATGGTTAAAATAGTGAGTTCCCTGATTGTTAAGCGAATCTGGCTTCCCCGTTTGACTCCGCTTGCCCGAAGGCCGTGTGACCATCATAAACACGAGTGGGTTGCCAGGCACCTGAATTTGGGTCACGTGACTGTTGGGAACGCTGTAACATGTGTTAAGAGTGAAAAAGAGTTTGATGGTCTCTTTTTTTCAGCACTGTCGTTAACTTTGAACTGTCACTAAGTGAAATGTTGTAAGTTGGGGAGTACCTGTAATTAAGGCTGACTGCCAGGAATTTTTTTGTGCACTGCAGGAATTTTTACTCCAGAAAAGAGCAACGTGGTAACACAGGCCGCACAGATAAAGGGATATCCTTTACAGTGGAATATAATGTATAATGTTTATACACTTCAGGAGAGAAAATGATACAACCATACATAGAATAATAATAAAATATCAGAATAACCCAATAATCAAATATTACAATACTGTAATAGAATGACAGAATAACAGAATACAACTTTTGTAAATTCTTTCTTTTAACATTTTACCTTTTGTAAACTTTTTAATATCTTGAACATTAATAAAGTTTTGTTTTAAAATTAAAAAAAAAATAGCAATAGCAGAGTTGGAAGGATCCTTGGAGGCCTTCTAGTTTCACTGGGAGGGAGGGAGAAAGCAGACCCTGCACCTGTGGGAATATGCTAGGAGGAGGAGGAGGAGGAAGAAGAAGAGGAGGAGGAGGAGGAGGAAGAAGAGGAGGAGGGGAGAGCAAGGAGGGGGAGAATGAGGAGGAGGAGGAGACAGAAGAAGAAGGAGGAGGAGGAAAAGGGGGAGGAAAAGGGGGAGGAGGATAGGAGACAGGAGGAGGAGGAGGAAAAGGAGGAGGAGGGAGACAGAAGAAGAAGAGGAGGAAAAGGGAGAGGAGGAGGGAGACAGAGAAGACAGAGGAGGAGAATGGGGGGGGAGAGAAGAAGAAGAAGAAGAAGAAGAAGATAGAAGAGGAGGAAAAGGAGGAGGAAGAGGGGAGACAAGGAGGAGAAGAATGGGACAACTGCGGAGGAAAAGGAGGAGGAGGGGAGGAAAAGGAGGAGGAGGGGAGACAAGAAGGAGGAGGAGGAGAATGAAAAGGAGGAGAAGGAAAGAAAGGAGAGGTAAAGAAGGGGGAAAAGAAGGGGAGACAAGAAGGAGGAGGAGAATGAGAAGGAGGAAGAGAAGACAGAAGAAGAAGAGGAAAAGGAGGAGGATGGGAGACAGAGAAGAAAGAGGAGAAGAGAGAAGAAGAACAGGAGGAGGAGGAGAATGAGAAGGAGGAGGAAAAGACAAGAAGAAGAGGAGGAGGAGGAGGAAAAGGAGAAGGAGGTGAGACAAGAAGGAGGAGGAGGAGAATGAGAAGGAGGACGAGGAGACCGAAGAAGGGGAAGAAGAAGAAGAGGAGGAAGAGGGAAGACAGAGAAGAAGAAGAGGGGGAGGAAAAGGAGGAGGAGGGGAGGAAAAGGAGGAGGAGGGGAGACAAGAAGGAGGAGGAGGAAAAGAAGACGACTGTGCGGTCCTTGGTGAGAGAGAGAGAGAGAAACTTATGACCATTTTTCACACTTATAACCATTGCAGTATCCCCATTATCATGTGATTAAAATTCAGCTGCTTGGAAACTGACTCGTATGTATGACAGTTGCAGTGTCTGTGCAGCATTGAACTGTTTTCAATTTTCCCATGTGGTCACTGGTAAAATTAAGGCGTTGGGTTTCTCCACTGGGTTTTTCTCTGCGAATCTCTTAACTTGTAACTCCAACCTCTCGATCCTGTCTGCAGTTAAGACGGAAGCTTCCGGAGAGGAGTCGGGAGCCTGCAACCCCAGAGAAGGACTTCAGTTTTCTGTCACAACCAGGGAGGACCCCTCCACCACCCCCCAGACTGAGGGGAGCAGGAGAGTAAATTCCCCAGGTGGAAAAGAGGAAGACAACTTTCCGGCAGGTACGTGGCTTGTTGGTGGCAGCATGGCTGCCTATTGCAGCCTGCCGTTGTCTAGCGGAGCTGGCAGCAGAGACGTACAGTGAGGAGGTTGGAGAGGAACTTGGGCCGGTCCTGGAGGCAGAGGAAGGCTCGGTTGAGGGCTCCATGTCAGAGATGGGGCCAGGGCAATCTGGCAGTTGTCAGCTGCCTTTGGAGTCGGAGTTCAGTGGGTAAGAAGAACAGCTGGAGCCTGTTCCCAATGTGTGTATGCGCAGAGCTGCCAGAAGAAGGGAACAGCTAAGAAACAAGGGAGTAAAGACACAGATGGATGGTGAATGCCCCTCCCAGAGGGATTAAAAGAGGAGCGAAAGGGGAGGGGGCTTTTGCAGGAAACAATTTGTTCGTTGCCACAGTGGGAAGATCTGTCTGTGCATCTCAGAGACTCTGTGCCGAGTCCTTCCTTGTCAGCACTGCGTTTGGAAACAGTTACTTGGCTGCCCTCCAGGCTAGATCGGGGCTGTGCTTCTAATCACACCCTTGAAAGGCTGTTGGCCAGGCCCTTGGCGGAAGGCGAATGCAAGAAATTCGCCTTCCTTTATTAAAAGGGGTTTTGCCGGGACAAAAAAATCTGCTTAGTGCTTTTGGGGGAAGCTGAGGTCAGAGCACTGCCAATCACAGACCCCATCTTGCAGGGTGCAGGTTCCTGGCTGCTGGGTGGGGGGCGGGGGGGGGGGGCTTTGACAGGGAAGGGCTTTTTCCTTCCTGTTCTTGTCTCTGGCCTAAGCCAGAACTAAGGGCGGTGTTTGTGGGTCTCTGCAGTCAAGGTGGAGCAGGGGACTAGCAGCTCCCCATGTCAGGACCTAGAGGGAGACCTTGCACTGGTGATTGTCCGTACGAGTGGAAGCCCAGAGAAGGCACAAGACCGATCTGGCATCTCGGCTGTTCGTGGTAAGCTTCCAGGTGAATGAACAAACGAATGAATCCTTTATTGGCCAAGTGTGATTGGGCACATAAGGAATTTGTCTTTGGTGCAAATACTCTCAGTGCACATGAAAAGAAAATGTACATTCGTCAAGAGTCAAGAATCATCAGGTCCAACACTTAATGATAGTCACAGGGTACAATAAGCAATCAAATCATACTAGGAAACAGTCAATACAGATAATAAAAATACAAGTGACCAAGTTACAGTCCTACAGTCACAAGGGGAGGGGAGGGGCAATAAGGAGGGATGAGAAGATTAATTGTAACAGTAATGCAGGCTTTGTAAATAGTTGGACAATGTTGAGGGAATTAGTCGTTTAGCAGAGTGATGGCATTAGGGGAAAAACTGTCCTCGTGTCTAGTTGTTCTGCTGTGCAGGGCTCTAGTAGTGTTGTTTTGAGGGAAGGGCTTGGAACAGTTTGTGTCCGGGATGTGAGGGGTCTGTAGATATTTTCACAGCCCTCTTTTTGACTCGTGCAGGATACAGGTCCTCTGTGGAAGGCAGGTGGGTAACCATGGTTTTTTCTGTAGTCCTAATTACTCTCTGGAGTCTTGTGTCTGTCCTGTTGGGTTGCAGAGCCAAACCGGACAGTTATAGAAGTGCAGATGACAGACTGAATCCTTCCTCTGTCGAACTGGATCAGCAGCTCCTTGGGCAGTTTGAGCTTCCTGAGTTGGCGCAGAAATAACGTTCTTTCTTGTGCTTTTTTGATGACGTTTTTGATGTTAGGTGTCCATTTTAGGTCATGCGATATAGTAGAACCTAGAAATTTGAAGGTCTCCACTGTTGATACTGTGTTGTCTAGTATTGTAAGAGGTGGTAGTATGGGAAGGTTTCTCCTAAAGGTCTGGTTTGGAGGTTGAGTTTTATGGGTCACCTGAAACTTTGGAAGAATGGGAGATGGGTGGGAAAGGGGGGAGGGAGGGACAGAGAGAAAGAAGGAAAGAAAAAAGAGTAAGAAAAGGGGGAGAGAAAGAAAAGAAAGAAGGAAAGAAAGGAGAGGTAAAGAAGGGGGAAAAGAAAAGGGAGACAGAGGAAGGAAGGAAGGAAGGAAGGAAGGAAGGAAGGAAGGAAGGAGAGAGAGAAAGAAGGCAAGGAAAGAGAGTAAGAAAAGAGAGAGAGAAAGAAAAGGAAAGAAACGAGAGACAAGAAAGAAAAAGACCAAGACAAATTCCTTGTGTGTCCAATCACACCTGGCCAATAAAAGAATTCTATTAATCTATTCAAGAAAAGGGAGAGAGTGGGAAAGGAAGGGAGGGAGGGAGGGAGAGAGAGAGAGAAACAGGAAGGAAAGGAAGAAAAGAGAGGGGAAAAGGAAAGCAGGAAGGAAGGAGAGATGGGGAAAGAAAGAAAGGAGTAGGGAAAGAAAAGACAGAAGAAGGTGAAGGAAGGAAGAATAAAGAATAAAGGAAGGTAGGAATAAAGGAAGGAAGGGAGAGAGCAGAAAGAAGGAAGGAGTAATGAAGGGGAAAAAAAGGGAAGGGAATGGTAAGAGAAGAAGGAAATGAAAGGAAGAAAAGAAGAAAGAAAAAAAAGGAAAGAAAGAAAGGAGAAGAAAGGAGAAGGAAGGGTGGAGTAATGAAGAGAGAAGAAGGGGAAGAGAACTGTAAGAAAGAAGGGAAGGACAAGAGAAGAGAAGGAAAGAGAGGGAAGGGAAAGAGAAGGAAGGAAGAGAAGTGTAGGGAAGGGAAGAGAACTACTTGAAAAAGGCCCATCCCTCCCAGCCAGCTGGCTCAAAGCCCATGCTGGATGGAAAAGTGGTTATCCAAGACTAGCTAGGAATGCTGGTCTTCTTTTGACCCGCACACGACTATGGTCTGTTTCTTGGTCCCCCTTCTCCTCCTGGGGTCATTCTCCACCCACCTGCAGATGGACGTTGAGGGCCTTGGGGTCAACCAGCAGTAGAAGGGCTGGAGAGTTGGGGGGGCAGCCTGGAGGGGGGGCACGGAAGCAGCCTCTTCCACCACCCCCCTCCAGGTCCCTGTGGTAGAGATGCCATCATTGTACTCCCCCCTCCAGTTAAATCTGAGGAAGAGCACCCCCTACGAGGCCCTGAGGACATCTTGGAAGAAAAGAGCTACCACCACTTTGGCCATCTGAGGGGCAGCTTGTCACCCGGGTCCAAGCTGGGACTATGGGTCCCGTATTCGTCTGGTAAGGAAGAGACTATTTAGGGCAGAGTCTTGGGGGGGCGGGGGGAGTGTGCACCTCTGGTGGGTGGGAAGGGTCTGGTCTGTACCCCACAATTTTGCATTCCATACTTGAGTGATTGTGGCCAAGGTTGATGTGGGGACATGAAGAAGAAGTTACAGTTGACTTAAGTATGTGAAGAGGAGTCAGAGTTGACCTGGGGAGGTGAAGACAAAGTCAAGGTTGACCTTGGGGGGAATGAAAAAGAAGTCAAGGTTGACCTGCGTATGTGAAGAAGAATCAGACTTGACCTGGGGAGGTGAAGAAGAAGTCAAGATTGATCTGGGGAGGGCAAGAAGAACATGTGAGCTGAAATAGGGGAGAGGGCATTTTGGGGGGTCAAAGTGGTGGACAGCAACACTTCAGTAGGAGGTGGGAGACCCCACATTGGTATCTCAGAGAAGAAGCAGGAAGTGGTGAGAGTTTCAATCCTAGGAAGCCCAGAAGGGAAGCCCAACCCAGGTCAGAGGGACGGAAGGAGCTGGTTCAGAGGACCCCCTGCTCAGCCTACATGTTCTTGGTGAGGGACAAATGGAGAACTTCTCCAATTCGCCTCCCTGAAGGACAGGTTCCAAGCAGGGTTGTCCAACGGAAGCCACCACGATGCCAAGGTTTTTGGAGATCCACCTTCAATTTCCTTCTTCTTCTTCTTCTTCTTCTTCTTCTTCTTCTTCTTCTTCTTCTTCCTCCTCCTCCTCCTCCTCCCCCTCCCCCTCCCCCTCCCCCTTCTCCCTCCTTCTCCCAGAGTGGAGCCCGGCCACCAGTCCTCTCCACGGCTTGCTCAACTGCCTGAAGGACATCCCTGTGCCCAGACCGCTTCCTCCCAAAATCTTGCCGGCCAAACAAGGAGCAACGGGGGAGAAAGAGAGACGAAGAGGAGGAAGACGAGGACGCTTCGGTAGGCCAGGAGTTAGGAGAACATGATGAACCAGACAATGAATGGGTTCCCCAACTATAACAGTTTCCAGGAAGGTGGACTTCAGCTCCCAGAATTCCACAGTAGCCATTGCTGAGAATTCTGGGAGTTGAAGTCCACTCGCCATCAATTCACCAAGTCTGGGGGACTCCAAGCTACTTCAAACCTACTTACGGAGCTTCACTCCGTCCCACCTCTCCAAATTTCAGCCCCAGCCACGCATCTCACTCTTCCCCAGATGTTGTGTTTCAAACTCCCATCATCCCCATCCCATCCCACGGGCAGTTGCTGATCTGTAAACCAGGATGGTTTAATCTTTGGTTCCCCGCGAGAGACATGGAAGCTCCCGAGAGCCCGGGGTTGAGAGGGGAGGGTCCTGTAAGCGACCTTGGGAGCAGCCTCTTCAACCGGAGCTCGAAAGCAATCCTAGGTCCAGGAGTGGGCTTCGAAAAGTTTCAGCGACTGGTTCTCTGCCTGGTTGCTGGGTGGACGTTGCCTAGTTGGCCTCCTGCACCATGGTGGGAAAGCTGTGTTTGCCCCCCCCCCCCGGCTCCAGCCTCCCAGAGGGCCTGCCGGCCTCTTCCTTCCTTTGTCTCTTGCCAGGCCCACCATCCGATGCTTGTCCTTCCCAAGGATCAGAAGCCCGTCTCGGGGAAAAGCCGGCTCAGCAGTCCTTCCTGCCCCAGGGATACGACAACAGGCCCCATGAGAGAGAGCCAGCGGGGCGCAAAGGGGAGACAGTGGCGGGACAGGAAGGTCAGATCCATCAAGAGGAGAAGCCTTGAAGATCCAGCTTGTTCAATGGCTCCTCTCCATCCATCCATCCATCCATCATCTGTGTCTGTCTGTCTATCTATCTATCCCTCTCTCTCTCTCTCTCTCCCTCTCTCTCTCTATCCCCTCTCTATCTATCCCTCTATCTCTCTATCCCTCTATCTATCTATCTATCCCTCCATCCATCCATCCATCCATCCATCCATCCATCCATCCATCCATCT